GGGTCCTGTGTGTCGTCTTCGGGCTCCCCCTCGTCTACTTCCTCACCAGCACCTTCAAGCAGGTCAGTGCCCGCCCTGGAGCCCCCGTCCCGCCGGCGGGACACGCGGTCCCGGTGCCGGCACACTGGGAGGCGGATTAAAAAAAAATCCCTCATACCCGGGTAACTTTTGTTCTTCAAGTGCTGTTGCTGAGCTCCTGGGACATGCTGCCGTAAGAATTAAATCATAATTATTAAATAAAGGCAGGAGTTAAAAAAAGTCACGTCTGATACTGTATTTGACAGCAATAGTGTTTTGAACCAAAACTGGAAAAAAAGAATCTCGAAGACACGTGATTATTCTGTTGTAATCTCTCTTGTGAACTGTAATTCCACTAGTAAAGAACTTATAAAAGAGAAATACGTGTACCTAAGGCTATTTAATATGATATATGCTACTTTTGTGGTTGTGAGTAACCGAGTTCGGCTGCGTTAGCTGATCCTGTGGTGACCTTGCATAGCCCCGTTTCACTGGGTTACGTTGCTTTCATGCTGCGTATAGCAAAAAGTAAGCTACTGCAGGTAGTATGTTGCTTACTCCGTTGACACTTGCATTTACAACTATTAGGCATTTTTAATAGTGGGAAGAGCTTGTGGAATGGAATGGCAGAAGGAACTTGTATGTTTGGTTGCATTGCTGTCTTTCCTTGCAGGAAGAAAGGACAGTGAGAGATCGGAATCTCCTCCAAGTGCAAGAGCATGAGCAGCCGATCATGTGGAAGGTGAAGTTCAGTTCGGGAAACAGCAGTCAGCTGAGTAACCAGTGCAGGAATTCTGTGCAGGGGAAGCTCCTCATTACAGATGAACTGGGTATACTTGATACTAAGAATTTATTCTGCGTATTGCAGTGTTGAATGCTGCTTTGCCTGTCTGATTGTTCACGGTGCTTCCAAGTAACAACTGCTCCCTAGTAAGGCATTCTTACTGCGGAACCTCAGCTGTTGGCATTTTATCCTCAGACTGGAGTGATTTTGCTGTGGCTGCAGACACTGCTGATCTGGTTCTGGGCACAGCAGGCTTGGGCGCAGCTGGACTCAGCTCAGGCACAGTACCTTATGAGTGTGGCTGTACTGTTTCCAGGACCACCTTAGATTCAAAGAACTCTAGTTACCTTTGCACAGAACTCAAACATTGAGTCCTGCTCATTTAGTGTGCTCGCTTGCAGAGCTCTTTGTATCTCCCTGCAGTGTATTCCTACTGTCAGGTATGTTAGGGAGAGTAATCGGGGAAACCTGATTGGCCTTGTATAGAGGCAGCTCAGGACTGGTATAATTAGTGCTTGGTCACAGTTAACAAGCTCATCTGACCCTTGTAAACCCAGGGATATCTCTTGCAGGTTCTCAAATTAACCACTTGTTTTAAGTGTATGGAGCCTTTCCTGCCATGCACACATGCTTCCCCAGTGTGCTTGTTGCTCAGGCACTGGACCTTTCTTGACCAGAAAATCAAGGCTGTAGAAAAACCACCACATCTTCTGTGATTTGCATCAATATTAAATGTAGCACTGCCTGAATTGTGCTTGCTGCTGATTGACTAAGGTCTCTAAAATCACGGATATCTTTCACAGTCTAACACTGTGGTAGTACAGTTTCCGTAGGGTCAAACCCTGTGGTTCTATACTATTAAGGATTCCTCTCAACAATGAATATTATAGCTATCCTGCGTGGATAAATCTAAGTCTCTTCATGTTGATCTATAAAGAGAGTTATCCAGACATAGACCAGTTAAAGAACATATGTCATAGTTTTCTCCGGTACAATCATCACCAATCACTTTTCCCCTTCCAGTCACAACAATGAATTATGCCAAAAAGAAATCAGAACTTAAATATTCTGCATTTAAAGACTTGTACTGTATATACAGCATATTAGAGTAGGTATATAATAGCTGTACAGATAACACCAGGTTGTAGTAAAACTCAGCTCTGTGTCTAAGTGTTAATTCAAAGAATTGGTAGTTAGGACTTCAGGCAAATTGAGGGGGATCATAATGCACTAAATGATAAATAAGCCTGTTCTTAAGTAATGTGATTCTTACTATAGCATTTCTATAGAACGTACAAAAGAGTACATCTTGCCAGTTGTTCCTACTGTTTTTGTTTTTCAGGCTACATCTGTGAGAGGAAGGACCTACTGGTAAATGGCTGTTGTAATGTCAACGTGCCCAGTACAAAGCTGTACAGCTGTGACAGCTGCCTTCCCAATGGCTGCTGCAGTGTGTACGAGTACTGTGTTTCCTGTTGCCTGCAGCCCAGCAAGGTGCGTAGACTTTCTCCTGCTTTTCAGGTGTTCTCAGCTGCTCAGGTTCCTCTGGGGCTTAAAGTGCTTGTTTGTGAGGAGCTTTTCCCTTTTCCCTGTCCCCTCTAAGGACATCCATCCTTTTCTGGGAAGGATGAGGAAAGCCTGCAAGGATCGTATGGCAAGCTATAAATAAAACTTTAAAAAAATTCATCCTTCCCACCTTTGAGAGGAAATACTGGGAGCCTTGCAAAATGTTTCAGCTTCAGGGGAATTACATTTGCTGAAGGGAAATGATTGCAGAAAAGCTACTCCAGCCCATATCAGTTTTGCAATTAGCACTTCGCTGTATTCTGTTAGCTTCTCTAGATTCTCCTCCTACTGCTGGGGTTCTGTGATGTGTTAACCTTTCAGTGCTTGCTAGAAATTCTAAGTGGAGTTGCTTACTATTCCTCTGATACTTGAGCTGTGTAGGTTAAGGTGGGCTTTGATTACTCCTTGTTGAAGTATGGTGTTTGTGGTTTTTTTTTTGTTTTGTCGTCTTTTTTGCTAACCACTTTAGCAACATCTTCTGGAACGTTTCTTGAACCGGGCAGCTATTGCTTTCCAAAACCTCTTCATGGCAGTGGAAGATCGCTTTGAGTTGTGTCTGGCGAAATGTAGGACTTCATCACAGGTAAGACACAAGTACATGTCCAGGGCTCAAAAATGGACAAATACCCAAAAAGTGCCCTTGGAAAATGGGGCTTGGTCCTATGAATGGCTGGTCTGTTGCGCTTGCATGCACATAGGCATTTTCATAAATGCTGAAGCTATGGCTGAGAGCTAATCTGAAAGCAATCCTCCGATTTGTAAGGTGAAATAGTAACATCGGCAGTAAATGAAGGGCAAAGTGCATATTTAGAGCAGGATGAGTTGTACACTCTCTTTAGAAAAGAGGTATGTAACTAAAAAGAGACTAGCTGAGTTCAATGGCCGGTGAAGATCTCTGATGAGCTCTGGGGAAGATCTTGTAAGGATGAGAACAGTGAGAGTTGTTCCTGGTAGCTTCAGAATGCTATTTATTTTATGGTACATTTTTATACTTACCATATGCTGACAATCATCTGCATAGTAACTCAAAAAGTATGTTGTAATTTTTTTTCACCTTGGAACAGAGGTGAACTTCTGTTACCCATGTGATTTTATTATAAGTTTTGGTCTAAGCAAGCATTGGCCCTCTTAGAAAATGCTGTTGGAGATGTCACGCAGCTTGAGTATTTAATATAGCAATAGGGATGAATTGCAAACAAAGGACGTAGTTCCAAATGTCTCCAAAGTTGTTGTTTGTTTTTTTTTTCCCCCCATAGTATCTGAACTCTGGCTTTATCAAGAAAAATGCACGTATCTCAAGTAGCAACTTTATTATGCCTTGCTTGCTTAGGACATTTGACGATATTCCCGAAGCATATAAAATTTTTTTTTTTTCCAATATTGACTCTGTTCCCACCTACTTGGGTAGTCTCCTGAAAAGGAGGGTCTGGGTATGGTTTGATATTAAAGTGCAACTTTAATATATAGCAACTGTCTTTTATATGTTGGGAGTGCAGTGTTGTTTGACTCCAGATGATACTCTAATGTGTAGAATAATTTGGGAATTCTTTGCATACGTATAAATGTTCTGGGTTTTGGCCCTCAGTGAAGGGATGCATTGTTTCAATATGTGTTAAAGCTTCTCCTCCTCTTCCTGACAGAGTGTACAGCATGAAAACACCTATAGAGATCCAATTGCAAAATACTGCTATGGTGAATATCCCCCAGAGCTTCTGCCTGTTTGAAAGCTGCATGATCTAAGCAACAAAGGGAAGGAACTGGAGACTAGAATCCAAAAGAGCAAGACAACAGCTGCTGCTTTACAGGAGCCTCAGTGTAAACGGCTTATGTTGTTTCTGGGGACAAACCCAGAGGTGTACAGTGTAAGCAAGGGACTTAAGTTCTCCGGGATTGAATCTTGCTTTCTTCAGTTTGTTATGCACCTGCTTTAGAGTACGAGGTACTAGTACTGTACTAGAGTACTAGTACATTCTTTGAATACTTCCTCTCAATTTTAGGATGCACGGAGTCGATCTAGGCTGTAAAACATCATAGGAAAAATACCTAACGTAGCTTTGGAGATGCACGTGGAGGTTCAATTGTGTCTCTGCAGTCCAGAGACTTTCCAGAGTGACAGTAGTAATTGGAGGACTTTTGCTTTTAGAGGGTAAAGCATGCCTGGTTGTGCTTCTCTCTCTGGAGCACTTCTTGACATGCATGGTGTACACTACATATGTAATTATGAATTATTTATTCATTTTATATGGATTACTAGCTGAAAGTATTGATGCTTTGCATAGGTAGTTGTTGATGCCTTTCAGTCCCTGTTTTGTTATGTCAGGTAGAAAGGATATTTTAGATCCTGACTAAAATTGGTTGTTTTTTGTTTCCTCCTTAGTCTAAAGGAATTGTACTGGGATTTGTCATTATAGTGCTTACGTTCCTCTTAGTGAGTTTAAAGCATTTAGAACTCCAATGGAGTTGTTATTCTGTCAAAGTACCATAGCATGAGAGAAGAGCAGGGATCTGCCTAGGATGGGATGTTTATTGTCTGTAAACACTTTCCTTGTTACTCTGCAACAGTTTCCTCAAAGAGGAGTCTTAGTCTTTTAAACAGCTCTCTGCTAGTCCACTTTCTGACAGGGAGCACTGAATATTTGTTTGCTTGAACTTGTTCAGGCCTTGGTAATTCAAATGTACTTCACTCCTGGTTGTGCAGGAGGCAAAAGGGTGGAGTTGTTCTAGGATTTCAGTTTAATGATGTCCTTGTGCATGAAGTAATTAGAATGTCAGAACATAGCGCAAGGCCTCCTCTGAGGACAACTGTGTTGCATGAGTTCAGTTAAACAGTCATGATGTTTTTGATTTGCTGTTTGAACTACTTGTTACTCTGGAATTTCGGTCTGATCAGAATGGCACTAGAACAGGGTTGGTTCTCCCACAATTCCTCCTAACTCCCTAGAGCTGCAATTTAAACTGTCTCCCTCTTAAGGCCACTCAACACAGAAAAGATGGATAGAGAACCTGTAAAATGCTGACTAAATTTGTGCTCCCCTTGCAAGTCACTGGGCAAAGTCCAAGCGCTAGATGAAATTGGGCTGTTCTTTTCTATATGCAGCGCCTCATTTCTCTTGTTTTTACACCATCCATCTCCTCCGTGATTTTGACTTTGTGTATGCTTATTTAAACTGATACTTCCTATCCCTTGACTGAAATAAAACAATCTACAGAGGCTTTAAAAAAAAAAACCAACAAACAACCAACCCAAGCACAGTGGTGGAGTATCCTGGTGCAAAAGATCTGTAGAATGCTATTGCAATTACATATGATATAAACAAGTGTTACCAGCCATCTGATAAAATCCACTTGCATTGTTTTCATTGTTCTTTCCCAGAAGTCATCAAGTGAGATAATGGTTCTGTCAGCAGATTCTCTTGAAAATCTTGTTTCTCCAAAAGCTTAAAAGCTTTAGCGATAGCAGTTTATCCAGCGGAAAATCTGTCTCCCCTTTGCTGCCATCCTATGGCAACTTGCTGCAGCATATGTGATACAGTGTGAAGATGCAGTGTGAAAGGCTGTCTTCAGAGGGTAGCAGAGGTTACTTCTCTTTTCAGTGTTAAACAGATTCTTCACCCTTGTTCCAGCACTTCATAACTGTTTTCCCCAGGGAAG